CTAACACCAAATGCTGCCGCTGTTGTTAGATGCCGTCTAACCGGTTCTGACTCGTGGTGACCCTACGTGCAAGAGCACAACACTACGCAGTCCTGCGCCATCCTCACAATCGTTGCTCTATTTGAGCCCATTGTTGCAGCCACTGTCTGTCCATCTATTTCGTTGAGGGTCTTCCTCTTTTTCACCAACCCTCTACTTTACCAAGCATGATGTCCTTCTCCAGGGAACGGTCCCCACTGATGACATGTACAAAGTACGTGAGAAGAGGTCTAGCCATCCTCACTTCTAAGAAGCATTCTGGCTGTGCTTTTTCCAAGATAGATTTATTTGTTCTTCTAGCAGTACACAGAATATTCTATTTTCTTCGCCAACACCATAATTCAAAGTTGTCAATTCTTCATTTCCAGCTTTTGCATGCATATGAGGTGACAGAAAATACCATGGCATGCGACAGGTGCACCTTAGTCCTCAAAGTGACATCTTTGCTTTTTAACACGTCAAAGAGGCCTTTTGCAGCAGGTCTCCCAACGCAATACATCCTCTGATTTCTTGACTGCTGCTTCCAAGGGTGTTCATTGGGGATCCAAGTAAAACAAAATCACTGACAACTTCACTCTTTTGTCTGTTTATCATGATGTTGCTTACCGGTCCAGTTGTGAGGATTTTTGTTTTCTTTATGTTGAGATGCAATCCATACTGAAGGCTGTGGTCTTTGATCTTCATCAGTAAGTGCTTCAAGTCCTCTTCACTTTCAGCTCACAAGGCTGTGTCATCTGCATAATGCAGGTTGTCAATGAGTCTTCCTCTAATCCTGATGCCACCTCCTTCTTCATATAGTCCAGCTTCTCAGATTATCTGCTCAGCATGCAGACTGAATAAGTGAATAAGTATGGAGAAAGTATACAACTCTTACACACACCTTTCCTGACTTTAAACCATGCAGCATCCTCTTGTTCTATTTGAATGCCTGCCTCTTGGTCCATATACAGATTATGCATGAGCACAAGTAAGTGCTCTGGAATACTCGTTCTTCACAATGTTATCCATAATCTGTTACGATCCATGCAGTCAAAAGCCCTTGCACAGTCAATAAAACACAGGTAAACATCTTCCTGGTATTCTCTGCTTTCAGCCAAGACTCGTCTGACATTATCTGCGATATCCCTCATTTTACATCCTTTTCTGAATCTGGCAGTTCCTTTCAATGTAAAGCTGCAACTGTTTTTTAATTATCTTCAGCAATATTTTACTTGTGTGTGATAATATTGATACTGTTCGATAATTCTGCACTGTGTTGGATCACCTTTCTTTGGAACGGGCACATATATGGATCTCTTCTGGTTAGTTGGCCAGGTAGCTGTCTTCCAAATTTCTTGGCATAGACAAGTGAGCGTTTCCAGTGTTGCATCTGTTTGCCGAAACATCTCAACTGGTATTCCGTCAACTCCTGGAGCCTTATTTTTCGCCAATGCCTCCAGCGCAGTTTGGACTTATTCCTTCAGTACCATCGGTTCTTGATCACATGCTACTTCCTGGAATGAGTGAACATCAACCAGCTCTTTTGGGTACAGTGACTCTGTGTATTCCTTTCAATTTCTTTTGATGCTTCCTGCATCGCTCAATATTTTGCCCATAGAATCCTTCTATATTGCAACTCGAGGCTTGAATTTTTTCTTCAGTTCTTCCAGCTTCAGAAATGCTGAATGTGTTCTTCCCTTTTGGTTTTCTAACTCCAGGTCTTTGCACATTTCATTATAATAGTTTACTTTGTCTTCTCGAGCCGCCCTCTGAAATCTTCTGCTCAGCTCTTTTGCTTCATCATTTCTTCCTTTCACTTTAGCTACTGTACGTTCCACAGCAAGTTTCAGAGTCTCTTCTGACATCCAGTTTGGTCTTTTCTTTCTTTCCTGTCTTTTTTAATGACATTTTGCATTCTTCATGTATGATGTCCTCGATGTCATCCCACAACTCATCCGGTCTTTGGTCATTAGTGTTCAATGTGTCAAATCTACTCTTGAGATGGTCTCTAAACTCAGACAGGATATACTTAAGGTTGTACTTTGGCTCTCGTGGACTCTCGTTTCAATTATCTTCAATTTCAACTTGAACTTGCATATGAGCAACTGATGGTCTATTCCACGGTTGGCCCCTGGCCTTGTTTTGATTGATGATATTGAGCTTTTCCATTGTCTCTTTCCACAGATGTAGTTGATTTGATTCCTGTGTATTCCATCCTGTGACATCCACCTGTATAGTTGCTGTTTATGTTGTTGAAAAACGGTATTTGTAATGAATAAGTCACTGATCTTGCAAAATTCTATCATATGATCTCTCATGTAAGTTTCTATCACCAAGGCTCTATTTTCCAACTACCGATCATTCTTTTTAGTTTCCAACTTTCACATTCCAATCACCAGTAATTATCAATACATCTAGATTGCATGTTTGATTTCAGACTGCAAAAGTCAGTAAAAATCTTCAATTTCTTCATCTCTTGTATTAATGATTGGTGCAGAAATTTGAATAATAGTCTAATTAACTGATCTTCCTTGTAGACATATGGACATTGTTATCACTGACCACATCGTACTTCAGGATAGATCTTCCAATATTCTTTTTGACAATGACTGCAACGTCTTTCCTCTTCAATTCATCATTCCCAGCATAGCAGGCCATATGGCTGCCGAATTCAAAACAGCCAATACGAGTCCATTTCATCTCAGTAATGCCTAGCATATCGATCTTTATGCGTTCCATTTCATTTCTGACAACATCCAATTCTCCTAGTTCATAGTTCGTAGATTCCACGTTCCAATTATTCATGGACATTTGCAGCTGTTTCTTCTCATTTTGTGTCTTGCCACATCAACAAAGGAAGGTCCTGAAAGCCTTACACCATCCACGTCATGAAGACTGACTCCACTTGGAGGAGGCAGCTCTTCCCCAGGCGTGTTCTGAGTGCCTTCCAACCTTAAGAGCTCATCTTCCAGCACTATGTCAGTGTTCCACTGCTATTCACCAAATGTACAGAGCCCTGAACAGGCTGGCCTCACCTATACCCTCGCCAGCCTCCTCTCTTACCATGATCCCACTCAACTCCCCTTTCAGCTCCTCCTATGAGGCCAGCTCCTGCCCACCACAAGACTTTGGCACTGCTGCTCCCCATGCCTGGAACACTGTTCTCTAATCTCTCCCACTTCCTTCCTAATTTCATCTTGTTAACTCTACTTTCCTTTCAGATCTCAGCACAATTACTCCTTTTATTCTCAGGGAAGCCTTCCCTGCCTACTCTTACCCACCTTCACAGCATCAGGTAGCCCTCCCTAGTAGCACGACCATGAAAATTTAGTTACATGTGTGATTCCTTGATTAAGGTCTGCTTCCTGCAATCAACCACAGCCTCATTAGGATAGCAACTAACTCTGTTTTTGCTCACCATTGTCTCTCCAGCACTTAGCAGATATTTATTGAATGTTTAATTAAAGAAGAAATGAACAAATGAACAACAGACTTAAATAGGTGGGCTTTTAGGAAGACACAGCACAGAGGGGGCTAAGGGGAAGGTTAAACTAATCCCTTCTTAGCCCACGCTTTCAACATTTCAGGGAGATACACGTGGTGTACTCTCACAAAAAGAATGACAGGAAAAATAAACGTTTTTCACAAAATGCTACGAAAACAGAACTAAAACTGTTAAATAATACATATATCAGCCTTTTAATTAAAAAAAAAAAAAAAGCTACTCATTTTTCAATCAACTTTTAAAGTCACTCTTCACTGCAGTAGCTCCTAACATACCTGAGAACTACTATTTAGCAATGGAGCAGGTCGCTGATCCCCAAAACCACCACCACCACCCACTAAAAGAGAGTTACATTTTTCTCTGTCCAAAAGTCTTCTCTCCATATTCTTTGTGTTGGTAAGTTAGAAGGCCTAGGCCAGCACTGTCCAACAGGAGTATAACGTAAGTCACAAATGCCAGCCATATATGTAATTTTAAAACTTCTAGAAGTTACATTAAAAAGTAAAAAGAAACAAGTGAAGTTAATTTTAGCAATATATTTAACTGAAAACATCCAAAATATTATCATTTTGACATGGACTCAATATTTTAAAAAAATATTCATAAAAAGTTTTACATTTTTTTTTTTATAGTAAGTCTTGGAAATCAATACGTTTTCCACTTACAAAACATCGTGTTTAGAATAGCCATATTTCAAGTACTCAATGGCCACGCGTGGCTAGTGGCTACCAAATTGGTCAGAGCAGAACTACTCTCCAACCACACTTCTGATAAATTATTTACAGTCTTCTTTCCTTTAAAAAACGATTGCAGAAAAGGCTTTTAACGTTCTCTGTATCAAACAAAACAACCACGGGGGGTATACTCACTACAGACAAGTGAAAGATAAAGAGGAGAGGCCCACAGTTCCGTGTATGTTAATGTAATGATACCTTCTTAATTCGTTCATGACTTTAAAAGCTTTCTTCATGTGCCAAGGATTCACTGTCACTGGGCAGTGTTTTTCGATATTATCATCTTTTGAATCAGGAGTCTTCTGATGACCCTGCTTTGTGCATCTGTACATAAAAGAAAAGAACAAAAAGCAGAAAAAGACCTTATTAAAGATAATTTTGTTCAGGCTTCTCAGGCTACAAGAGGTACAATGAAAATGCTTCCCCCTCTCACTGGGAGGAAATCTCACTTATAGCGTATCCCAGCAGAAGATTAAGACAATACAGAACACCTTCTGATGGTCACTGCGGTTTCAACAAAAAAGTGGGTGATTACTTCTATGGTGTCAAAGATGCCAAAGATGAGTAGAGAAAATCCAGTCGAGTGACGCTGCAGATACTTCCAAATAAAAATGCTGGGAAATGATGTTCTCTGTTGGAAATTAACTTGCTTTTACAATCTCATACGTTATTTACAAACCAAGACAGGAGCAGGATTACATCCTGTACAAACTTCAAAAAAGCTTAGAGTCTGATTTGGATTTTGCTCTCTACCTGCAAGGATACTGACCCCCATACATTCTGGACCTACTCTAAGAGATGAATCACGTTAGCTAATGTTTTGAGTATTTACTATACGGCAGCCACTGTGCTGCAAGCAGTTGACTTCTCTTATCTGGTTAATCATCACAACAACTCTGTGATCTAATTACTACTATTATCCCATTAAACAGATGAAGAAATTGAGGCAAAAACAGTTTGGGTAACTTGGTAAATGGCAGACCTGGATAAGAGTGCAGCTGGTGTGATTCTCAATATCATTCTTTTAACTAAAGTTCCATATTATTTCCTAGATTAACCAACGGATAATTTCATATTTAAATTTATAATTTTTGAGAGCACAAAGCTATATTACTATTGCTGTATGAACTACTCTTTCAAGACTTGGAGGCCAAAAATTATTGAATAAAATAACGGTAACATGGGAGGTGACGGGGATTAACTGCAAATGGACCCAACGGAACTACTTGGGATGATGGTTGCACAATTCTATAAATTTACTAAAAATCACTAAATTGTACAATTATAATAGATAAATTTTATGGTATGTAAATTATACCTCAACGAAGTTATTAAATAAAAAATTTAGGTTACCAAACTATGCCTTAAAAAATACCTGTATAAGTACATACATATGTATGTGTGTATGTATGTACATATATATGTAAAACACAAAGAACAGCAGGCAAACATCCATATTTATTGTCGCAATTTTCATACATCTTCTTCTACTTACCCATTTCTGAAAAGATGATTCGTTTCAAAAATACTATCGCTCATTAATTCATTGGGCAAAGATTTTTTGAGGGCCAAATATGTACCAAGCATTACTGGAACACATTAGTAAACAAACAAAAATCCCTACCGTCCCGAAGCTTAGAGTCTACTGGGGTGAAAATACAGGTAGTCCCCAACTTAAGACAGGGTTCCGTTCTGACGATTCTGTCCTAAGTTGGTTCTGACCTAAGTCGGATACCTCATTATTTTTTAGTTTTCATTATTATTGCCTTTTATTATCAGTATCTTTGTAAGTCTGATCTGTATGTCTTTAGGGGCTGGCATGAGAATGATAACATCAGCAAAGTACATGCTACAACACTGTATGTAGTACATATTACTAACAATAGGACATATCAAAAAGAAGGGACGGTTGTAAGCACAGTTCGTTGTAACTCGAATATGCAATAAGTCGGACTACCTGTACGATAAACACAATAAGTAGATGACATGTTAGAAAATAAGTGTTACGGAAAAAAGAAGAAGCAAAGCAGGGTAAAGAGTCGGAAGTGTGGGGTGACGGTGGTAGGGAGTACTATCAGCAGTATTAAACAGGGTGACAGGGAGGGCCTGAGAACCGAGCTCTGAACAAAGGTCAGGAGGTAAGGGAGTTATCCAAGATGGACTCTTGAAGAACATCCTGACAAAAGGAACAGCTAGAGCAAAGGCCAGCACATGCCTGGTGTGTCCCAGGAACTCAGACTAGTGTGTCCGAAGCAAAGGGCTGAGGCTGAGGGTGGCTGGGAGCAGATCACGCAGGGCCTTGCAGGACACTGTCAGAACTTTGGCTTCTACCCTGAGTGGAATGGAGATGTACTGGGAGGAGTGACACAGTCCGACTTACATTTTAAAAGGATCACTTCAGCCACTGGTTGAGAATTGTCTATGTAAGTCCCAGGTGAAAAGGGGGAGGTGAGGAGGACAGTGCAACAACGCAGTGAGAGAGCAGGGCAGCCGTAACGGAGGGGATAAGAAGTGTCTGGGTTCTGGGTATGTTTTGAAGGCACAACCAACAGGATTTGTTGACAGAATGTTTGTGGAATGTCAAAGAAAGTGAGAATGACTCCAAATTTTTTGGCCTAAGCAACTGACGGATTTAGTTTTCATTGAGATCAAGAAGGTTGAAGGTCACTCAATATTTGACAAAGGCCCAAAGTCCAAAATGGGGAAAAGATAGTCTTCTTAACAAATAGAGCTCGCAAAACTGGATGTCCATCTGTAAAAAAATGAAACAGGTCCC